GTCTTGGCTGACCTGTGTTTCTTGGCAGACTAAAGCAAGCGGCGCCTACATGAAAAACCTCAAAAACAGAACAGTGGGTTCTCTGATCGGGCAGGGCAAGCAGAAACACATGCAAGGTTCTAATGAAAAGAAAGGCCCTGGAGCCCCAGGAAGGTCTGTCCCTGAGCGTCTCCTTGGATTGTCCCAGGAAGGAAGAGGGAAGGATTCCAAGTACAGAAGGTCACCAGGCACCCACAACGAGGCATACAACCCTGGCTTTACAGCAGAGATGGCATCCCCTTCGGGTGCGCTCTGGAGTAGATGCCCTCTGAAATTCCTGACGACTCACAAAAACAAGTGCCAGGTGACCGTCATTTAGGGCAGGGAGTTTAAGAATGTCTCCCCACAATGCTCCTGTCTTCACTGCACACTCCTCTTCTCAAACTCTACCATAATCCTCCTGTAAAAATTTAAAAAACCTTCCCTCCCTCCACCAGCACCGGAAATGTTACTTCCCTGGCACTGATGGCATCACCAGACCATCTCTTCTGCTCAAATTACTACCATAAATATCCCCCTTCTCTGTTTGTATGAGAGCTTTCCATCTCTGCACCACAGTCAGAAGCAAAACACTCCCTGTCCTCCATAAAAATGAAGGTTAAATCATTCAAACTAAAGCCAGGCACAGACTTATGCTCCAGATTGGTAAGTCTGACCATCTCGGCACCCTTTTAATGCTGTGATTTCTCCCCCCTCATTACTCATTTAGATTTGTGCTGCCAGTGGCCTCCCACCACACCCCCTATGCCTCCCTCCTCACTTAAATACCCAGCATTTACTTTGTATGACCTTAGAGGTGTACTCGTCTCCTCCCTGACAGTAGGGACTGTTTTGTGTCCCTGTATATCCAATGCCTGGCACACAGCAGGCACATAATAAATGCTGGCTGACTGCCACTTCTTTCTTCCATTCTCTTTTGAGAGCCTGCGTTTTCCAGCTCTAATTTACCTCCACAGGCCATTCCTTTTCCAAGACCATAAATCCGAAATCTATTTTTGCCATTATAAATCCAGATGCCTGAAAGATTTGGGGGGTTTTAGCCATTTTAGGAGAACTGAGGTCAAAGTAGAAAACTGATGTGCTGGCTCACTGCCACGCTCACCGCCCACAGCACAAAACAGATCCAGAGACTTCCAAGTTCCCAGCCTGTGGATGAGCACCCATTCATTCACGGCTGGGTCCTGGATGTTCCAAACACCGCCTAAAACTTGCTGAGGCAAAACCAGCTTCTTCCTTCCTGTAACCACAGCCACGCCACCCTTTCTCTTCCATTTGTCATCCTTAATACTCATGTGTTTCCAGAGTATTTTTCACCAGATCGTGATGAAGGGAACTTACTCATCCCAACGCTATGAATCAAGAGCGTTGACCTCAGCATTAGCTTTGCCCAGAGAAGCTCGGAGCTGACGCAACCTCTTCCAGCCTTTAATTTTGCAGCTGTTACGAAGGAGGGCACTCGTGAGAGACATTACAGTACTTCTGGTTAGCTGGGCTTTCAATGAGTCAGACTCCTGTGTTCAGCTCAAGGTTGTCCGAGGACCATTTCCTATTTCCCAAATAATGTTATCTGCATTTTTAATGAGAAGCGAGATAAACTTGTGACCCTATTAATTCCACAAGTTATTCCAGTATTTTAGAGTTGGAATTTTCAAAGAAAATGTTCTCTCCTTCAGTTAACTACACCACTCCAAAAGCTGTCATTTTCATCTTCACTATCATACATCTCAGGAGGATTCCCGTGGGCAGCAGAAATAGGGATAAACTTGGAGTCCTGGGCACCAAGCCCAAATCCAGCTTGCCATTTCCTATTACCTGGACACCCTCGGGTAATGCTATCCGTGTCCCTTCTCTGGGCCTCAGTTTCCTCAGATGTAAAATAGGGGTGTTGAACTATTTGTCTTCAAAGTGTCCTCTTTCAGCTGCGCTTCTATGATTTTCTTGTCGTTACAGAAAGCAAATCTAACAAGACACACTCCCCGAAGGTACAGCAAAACAGGGACTGATCTCGGAGGCATCCCCAGCGCAGCGTATCTGTGACCCAATCTGTTTGCTTTCCGCTCAAACCTACCACCTCTTTCCAACTCTCCTGTTCGGATTGAGAGTCCTAATACCCTTCCGAGTCTCCCAGGTTCACCATCTTGTGTCCATTCCAACTCCTCACTTTGACTTGGCCCAGGTGGCCAGTCAGTCGCCCAATTGGCCTCACTCTTCTTCATCCACGCCAGCTCCTGTCTCCATGCATTTGAACTAGCTATCTCCTGGATCTGGGTGTGGGCCTGGAATGTACCCCCTGCTCACCTCCACCTCCCAGAATCCATTGCTTTCTTTGAAACCTAGCTCAAGGCCTCCTTCTCCATGAAGCCTTTGCTGAGCACCCCCACCCACCCAGCCAGTTCTAGTTTCATACCATCTTCTGCATCTGACCCTTGCTTTCTACACATGCTTAGCTCAGGCCCTCATCACCTCTCACCTGGACTACTGTCATATCCTCCTATTTGGTTTCCCTAACTTAAATTAAGTCTCTCCTCTCTCCAATGAAGAGCTCCATTGAACTGAGAAAATGATTTTCCTAAAGCACAGATATCTGACCACTCACTACCCTACTGAACAGCAGGTGCTTAATAAATGCTCATTGACTCTTTTTAACTTGAATAAATTCCAATCGTTCCCTATTCTCTTTAGGAACAAATATAAACCCATCCCTGTGCATATACAATCCTTTCAAAACAGCCCCAGTGATCTTTCTAGCCTAGTAAGATTTCACTGCCCTTCAGGCACCCAGGTAGAGCCAATTTGGCCCTGCTAGCCTCATACACAATGCTGTCTCCCACCTCCATGCCTTTGCACTGGTAGTGTCCCCTACGACTGTAATGCCTTCTCACCTGACCTTCAAGACTCAGCTCAAGGGTCACCTTCAGGAAATCTTTCCTGATCATTTGTTCATTCAATAAACATTTATTAAGTGCCTGCTATGTGCCAAGCACTTTCTCCCAGGTCCTCTTAATACCCTTCCCCATTTTATTTAATTTAAAATTTACATTTTATTTAATCTGTAGGGATTTTGCACAAAACGTTTATAATATAGATCACTGTAAAGATATAATGTATTATATACTACAGGAAACTGCTAGGAACCCAGCTTCTAGTCAGGAAGCCTGGGCTCCTGTTCTGTAGCTATGTGACTCTGAGTAAGTCAAGTGACCTCTCAGGGCCCCTGGCCACTCTCTCCAACTGAAAGATGCACAACCATCATTGACCCGCAGTAGAAGGAGGTTTCCTCACCATGGGGTCAGAAAACTCAGGAAATCACAGGATGGGACCAAAAATATTTTGTACCTCTCACAGAACGGAGGGATACTTTCCTTTCTGTCTCGGCTCCCCAGTGCCTGGCACAGTGTTTGCGATGTGACAGGTGGGCGTTCAGTAAATGTTTGTCAAGGACCTCTATCTGTGGGACCCAGGGCAACGTACTCAACTCTCTGGACTCTGGCAGGGGTTGGTCCGAATGGCCTCTACTGTAGATTCCTGCTCCGGAGATACGATCTGTAATCTCTCCATCTCTCCTCCTATCACAGACTGGCCGATAATTTCATAGCAAGATGCTTGACTCCCAGCCCTAAACCTCAATCCTCCCTTGACCCATGCTCCCTGGAGAGCATTTCAGTGTTTAAAAATGCCACGTGATGCCTGCAGAAGAAGTGGGGAGATAAGCCACATAGAAAACATTCCCTTCATGGGATAATCATTTTCTCAATTGTAAAGGAAGAATTTGAAGAGGCAAAGAGAAGCTGAGGTGGCCCGTCAGTTACCTCCTTCACTTTCACAAAACACATCACACAAGGAGGAAACTGGGATCAGTAAACTCCATGTAAGTCGGGCCATTCTAGGGAGGAAAGGTCGCCTTTGGAGTCCACAGAACTGTCTAAACCCAAAGACAAACAGAAGGCTATTGTTCCCGTCCCCTCCAAGAAGATGAATTCCGAAAATACTCCAGTGGTAAACAAATGAGCTGAAGGGACCAGAATCTGACTGGTTGACCAGGAAAAATATTAGGGCTTAGGGAGGCTCTCTGTCTCTTTCACTTCATTCTTTTCAGAAGAAACTCTCCCTGCCCCCACCTCCCTCCTGGTCCGCCCCCCCCCCCCCCCCCCCTCCCCCCCTTCCACAAAAAACCCCCCCCCCCCCCCCCCCCCCCCCCCCCGCCCCAGGCTCTCTGAATTCTTTGGTCACTGATTTGTTTATAGATTGTCAATCACAAGGCACTGTGTCCATTTTTACAAAAAGGCAAATGAAAGTGAGTCCATTTAAAAACATATAGAAGCCAAGCAAAAGGCACCAGATTGGCCAGAAGTGTTGCCTGTGTTTACTACACGGACCTATCCCCACTCCAGGCTGTGCCAATGAATTTTAAGTGAAAATAAATGCCCACACAGTCATCAGCGGAGACTCCTGATTCCTGGCGAGGGCAGGTGGGAAGCCCAGGGTAGGAGGAGGGGGAAGGCAGGGCCCAGGCCATCCTCTGCACCCCTGCAGCTGCGGGCATCCCCCCCACACACACACCCTGGCTCTGTTCCCATTTGGTCTGGGTCATCTGGAGAATGTACACCACCACGACGGAGCCCCTGCCCCCTGAACATGCCACGGGCAAAGAGGGAAACAGAGAGTGGTCCAAGAGGAGCAAGGAGGGCATGGGTCAAGAAGAGGGTGGTGAAAGACAGGGTGTTCCTGAATGCCTCTGCCTCTCTCCAGCCTAAGGTGTGCCCAGGGCTCTCCACCACCATCATTACTCTCAGCATTATCACCACCACCACCACCACCATTACACCCATCATTACCATCACCATTATCACCACCACCATCAGCATCGCTATCACCACCACCATCACCACCACCACCCCCCACCCCCGCCCCAGGTGGGCAGGGAAGGTGCCCTTGCCTGTGTGGGGTCCCCTTGTCCCCAGGCCTCTGGCATCCTCCTCGGCCAGGACCCATCCTGCCTCCTCCCTCCCCCAGCGCCGGGAGCATTGCCTCCCCCCCCAGCGGCTGCCACTTTCCGGCGTTCGCTTCCACCCAGCAAACATTAGACACCTAGTGTGTACCACGGAGGGAAGGGAGGGATCACAAAGCCTTGGTTTCTGCTGGGCCGGACGCCCCGGGCCCAGAGCAGCGTCACCGGACGGTGGGAGCCAGGAGGGCTGCACTGGGGCGCGGAGGGAGCCCCGAGCCCGGGGAGGGCGCCGCAGGGGGGCTGGGCCTCCCGGGCAAAGGCACGGAGGCGAGAGACGGACCAGAGCGCCGGTCCGGCCGGAAGGTAAGGACGGCCGGGCGGAGGAGCCCCCACCCCCCACCCCCGCTCCCGGCGGGCCTGGCGGCGGCCCCGGCACCGCGCCCGCCGCGGAGGCCAGGCCCGGTGGACGGCTCACCGTGTGCGAGTGCAGGCTCTGGCTCGCCTCGATCCCCGCGCTCAGCGGCGCCGTGTCGTCCAGCAGCACCTTGCCGGCCGGCGGCTTCTCCATGAACGCCATCGCCGCCTGCCCTCCTCCTCCTCCTCCTCCTCCTCCTCCTCCGCGGGCCGGCGGCTGCCAGAGCCTCCGCCCGCCCCGGCCCGCCCCGAGCCCGGCCCGGCCCAGCTCAGCCCGGCCGGCCCCCGACAGCCCGCAGGGCCCTAGCGCCGCCCGACCCCTGCACGGAGAGGGAAGGACGGAAGGAGAGAGGCCCAGCCTCCTGCCTAGGGAGGGAGGGAAGGAGAGAGGCCCCGCCCACTGCCCGGGGAGGGAGGAAAGAGGGAGGCCCCACCCCTATCCTGAGGAAGGCGGGAAAGAGGGAGGCCCCGCCCCCTGCCCAGGGAAGAAGAGAGGGAAGGAGAGGCCCCGCCTCCTGACTGGGGAGGGAGGGAGGGAAGGAGGGAAGGAGAGAGGCCCCGCCCCCTGCCCAGGGAAGGAGAGAGGGAAGGAGAGAGGCCCCGCCTCCTGACTGGGGAGGGAGGGAAGGAGGGAGAGAAGAGGGAGGTCCCGCCTCCTGTACTGCCCCCCCCCCCACACATCATTCCCGCCCCCCACTCCCCAGGGACTCTGAGCCCAGGGCCCAACCTCCCCCCCCATCAGTCAGCGCCCCCTCCCCTAAGGGCCTGGGGACACACCCAGACACTGGCCTTGGTGGGGCACAGGTGGACCCCCTGCTGGGACTGCCTCCCGGTTCATTCAGGGCTTGCTGTGTGCCAGGCGCGTAGGGTCCCTGCCCCCCGAAGCTGCAGGTAAAGGGGGTGGGGCAGGCGGGCCCCATGGAAGGGGGCTGAGCATGGGCCTGGTGCATAGTAGATGCTTGGTCACCATTTGTTAATTGTTTGAGTCCTGGGTTCAAATCCCACCCTTGGCATTTACCTGTGTGACCCACTCAGTTTCCCCAGTCCTCAGTTTCCTCATCTGTAAAATGAAGGGTTGGCCTAGACGAGGGGCCTTCCAGCTGTAACATCCTGTGATTCTATAGTGTTTTCTGAGGGTGACCCAATGCTCTGTCTCCGAGGGCGTTTCTGTCTTGGGCTCTCAGAGCATCAGTAATGAGTGCCACCGAGAGGGGCGCATGCTGCCTCCAGCAGCCTTGGTAGATGTCCAGTGACCACGGCCCAGCCCACACTGTCTGACCCTGTGTCTGTATGAAGGTGGGCAAGACCGTGGGCACCCTGGCCCCACCCAAGGATCAACCTGGCTCTGCTGGTGATGGGAGAGGTGGAGCAAAGTCCATCGCTCTGCTCAGAAAGTGAGCCCAGCCAAAAGGCATTTCTGATGATAAACTGTAAACTGAGGCAGTCCGGCATGGTGGAGGAAAAACCCCAAAAGCTTAGATTCAAACCCGATCCTGCCACCACCCATAAAACCCTGGGTGGGTGGGTGGTAAGGCAGGAACTCACCTCCCTGAAACTCAGTTTCCTATTTGTAAAATGATGAAATTGGGCTAGGATCTAAATCCCAACCTAAATACGTTTTCTCCAGTAAAGGATAATGCTGTGATCCAAGAATTACATTTATCACGTTCTACTTTTTCATCAAGACATTCCTAAGTGAAAAATAATCACCGATAGCCCCACAAACTTAGGGAGATGGTCCTTTTCACCTTGGTAGGATCTAAGTTGGTGCTCGGCTGGCATTGATTTTGAGAACCGTGGCTGAGCTCCACACCCCAATTCGGGAGGGGGAAGGTCGCTTAATGCTCCCAAAGTCTAGGCTGCTTTTGCTTCCTTAGTGACAGAAAAAGACCCTGCGGGGAACAGGCTCAGTGACTTGGTAAGGGTTAAAGAGCCATTCTGAAACTGCTGAGGCTCCCAAGACACACTTATTTCAGTTCTTCCTACAGCAAGAAAACAAACTAGGGGAAGGGAAAGTGTGGGCTGGGTTGAGTAGATAGTGGTTTAAATTAGAGGAGAGGAAAATGTGGAATAAGAATGGGAGACCAGAGATGAAAATGGGGGAGGGAGTGTGGAGAAAACCCAACCCACCTGTAGACCTAAGGACGACACAGTTAGGAAAAGGAAACTGAAAGTGATTTCAGAAGCCTTGGAGGGAAGGCTGCCAAGGCCCCACTGTGGCCTTCCCTTTCGGCTTTTCTGTTCCAAAGCTCCCAATCCGGGGAACCTCATTGGGCAAAAAAGGGGGCAAATTTCAACCTATTTATTCATGCTTGAAAATCTGAACGCTTTGGGGTCCCGTGAGGACTCCTGGACCCCTACCTCTACCTGGGACCCTAAAATTGGGCTTCCATCATCCTTTGGACTGAGTCACAGGTCCTCTCTAGTACAGGTCTGTAGGCCCCCTCAACAGACCAGAAACAACTTTTCTTATTCCTAACTAAGCTGTCGCAAGCTGCATCAAGAATTGTGGGCTCATCAGCTTTCCTCACACAAAAAATATTAAGTCACATTTATACTGCCCTTTGTAAAGCTGAAAGTGTTTCTCTCATAACCTGAGGTGGGCTTTCACTTATTTTACAGATAAGGAAGCTGAAGCATAGATAAATTGCCCAGCATGTGCTTTCTCCCAGCTAGGAGATGAAAAATCTTTCCTGAATAGCAAAGTTCCTCTTCTCCTTTGTTGACAGATAGTTTTTGTTTGATTTCCTATTACTTTCAGGATCTCTAATTATACTAAGTGTGGGTTTCTTCCTTCACCAACACAAATGGGAACCACTCTTATCAATCAACAAACATCCATTAAGCATCTACTGCATACTAACTCAGTAACTTATTTTCCAGGCTGAAAATTCATCGCCCTGAACTCCACCTGGGCTTTGCTATGACCGTCCAGTATAAATCTATGTAGCTTGGTAGGTCCAGGGAGAGCCGGTACCTCAATGACTCAGCCTCCAAGAAGCTGATGCTGCTTCATGCCACAGTGATGGCATGAATCACAGAGCTGAAAGACACAGTCCCACCCAGGCCTGCACAAGATGCCATTCTTCTATAACGAGCAAGCAACCACTCGGCCTTTCCTCCAAGCCCTTTTTCTTCACTTTGCACACTTCTGAGCTTGCTAAGAATACCTGTCTCAACAAGAGTGGGGCACTTATTCTCTGAAGCAAGCAATGAGAACAAAGGAAAGTTTAAGCCCAGAACAAGAAGAAAACCAAGCAGGGGTGAATGAAAGCGATTTAGAGTCTTTAGATTTCCATGATGTAAAGTCAGTAAGTAATCTGTGATGGAACAGCGGCTCAACATAGTTACAATCAAGTCTTCAAAGGGTGTTTTAATAGAAAGACTTAAGTCACATAATTTAGTTGCAATTTTCTTTGGGATTAAATTGGTCTGAATCCTAGTCTAAAATTATAAAAGAAAAAAAAAACAAATAAGCCCACAGAAAATGAGAAATCTACCATTACCTAAAAGTTACCAGTGTGTCCCTTAATTACTTCTGCTCATTCTAGAACAATAAATAAGTCAGGTGAGAAAAGCCATGGTGACTTCAACAAGTCACCTTTCCTCTGCTCCAAAAACTCAAATTTGCTTTACATAAAAAGGAATGCGTGACAGTTCGCCAACATTGAAATGTTTCTAATAGAGTATAAAAATCTGTTAACCAATTTTCCAGGACATTAGGCTGAAATTGCACAAGATGAGTATTTCTTTCTGTTGCAGTCAAGAAAAGAAAACGGATTACTGAGTCCGGCGTTGCACCTAACATGATTTGGTCAGAGTTGTCGTGCCTTTTGTGCTAACTCATAAGCATGACCAGGGACAGTCACGGTCACCTCCCAATCTGAGTGTTTTATGATCTGCAGGTGAACTGGGCCAGACACTTCACCTTCCCCTGTTCCTCTGCTGCACAGAACACAAGCTTACACAGGTAAGCACAAGAGTTTACCCTGATAAAGCTCAACTGGTCAGTCTTTTGAGGGGCTTGGCTTCATTCTAGCAAAGGTACGACGGGACTGAGGAAATGATTCTGGGTCAAACTGACAACTCACCACTACCTGAACAGGACTGTGGCTCCAGAATTTTGTTCTATAAATTTGATTCAGAGAGCCAAAGAAACAGAGGCATCTGGGAAGCCACCAGTTGGGAACGTTCCTATTGAGAAGCCGGGTTTGCCAATAACAGAAATCAAAGGCTAGCCACAGCAATAACCAATGCTTCTACCCCGGGCCCACATAATTTTTCACATTCAGAGTCATTCTGTCAGATACTCTGCACAGTAAATCAGCAGTAACCGAAAGGTAACTTAGTCAAGGCTGGCATTAACAAATGGCACCCATTTACATTTCCTTCCATGCTTTATTTATTTGTAGCAGGGTTTAAGATTGTCATCTACTTAGTTTCTGAGAGTTGTAAAGAGAGAATAGTTCTGGTCTCGAACAGTAGTAAAGCTGGGTATGAGGGCACACAAAGAACAATGCATGCGACCCTGCATTTCTGATCCCCTGTAGCAATCCCCCCCCCCCAACTTTTTAAGTCCCAGGGGACTGACTCAAGCTAGGAAACTGACCCACATTCCAAAAAGAAATTCAGAGGCTCTCTTTTTTTTTTAAGGCAATTGGGGTTAAGTGACTTGCCCAGGGTCACACAGCTAGTAAGTGTTAAGTGTTTAGTCTAAGTTCAGATTTAAACTCAGGTCCTCCTGACTTCAGGGCCAGTGCTCTATCCACTGCACCACCTAGCTGCCCCAGAAGCTCTCTTAGGTAAACCAAAGCTTAATCTCCTTTGCACTGGAAATGTTTCAGTCATTGTTCCCACCTATTCAAATCCCAGGGTGGCCAAGGAAGAAGTCAGAGAAATGCCCCTGCTGGCACCTCCGTCTGCTGCTGCCCTCTCGTGAGTCAAAGGCACCGTCCCTCCAGCTACCAAGGGCTTGGTTTTCATTCCTTTCCAGCAGCTGTGATGAACCACACCTGATCCATCTCCACTCTTCCATGTGCAGATAGTAGGGAACCCAGCGGAACCAGTGGGCCCACCACAGCCGTCACAGTGACCTGTTTCCATCCCTCGCCCTAGCCTTCTCTCACATCTGGAATACATCCTCTTCTCACTTCTGTCTCTAAAGAGCCCTGGCTTCCTCTGAGACCCAGATCTAGGGACATGAAGTCTTCCCTGGTTTCCTGGAGGGCTCGTGCCCATCCTCCCCATAACCATCCCCATAACCATCCCCTATCGTTTTGGATGTAAGATGCAGGTACTTACACATACACCTGTTGTCTTCGCCATTAGAATGTAAGCTCCTTGAGGGCAGTGTTTTTGCTGGCACAATGCCTGGCACAGCATAAGCGCCCAGTAAATGCTGATTATTGACTTTAATGACTAATCAAATAATGGTATACAAGAATCACAGACTATATCTGCAATATGAGAAAGGGCATCACCGAGAGCAGAAATATGGTACCACCTATATGAAACGATGCTGCGTTTATATCCTGACAACTCTGCAAAGACCAAATAAAATCTGGGGAAATACATGGAACAATTCAGGAGACAGAGGAGCATTAAGGCCCTGTGTGCATATTAACTTCCCCAAGAGCACAAAGGGCCCCTTTTTTCATTCTTGCTCGTGCTGAATCTTTTTTGTTACTTTATAGTTATTTTGTTGACGTTTACCAAATTTAGGTAAAATTTTTTAAAAACCATTTAGCCTTCACTTCTATTACAGACTTTTGTCTTAGAGGCAGCAGAGACCACATATACATGACTATTTGACTCTCCCCACCTCACTAGTAAGAAGCAGGCCTCTTTAATTAGTGCCCCAAGTTTAAACAAGACTCATTGCAGACCTGCAGTCCCAATGCAGGGAGGGTGGTTTATAACTTTAAATCCCCAGGAATTTCATTATCTTTTTTTTAGGGGGGCAGGGGAGAGGTCCAGGTTATATGGTTTCATTAGCAACATACTGACTCAGTCATGGGATTAATACCAATAGTTCTTAAATTGAGCTTTATAAACTGGAAAAGTTTACTCCCAACTCCTAGTTACCAGGGAAACTGGACAAGAATGTGGATGGTTTAGTCCCCAAATAGTGCCACCACTACTGGCAAAACAAAAAAAAAACCTACGTACCACTGATGATGAAATCACTAAGTTCACCTGTGTACATGAAGAATAAATTGTTTCAATGCTGTCTTCAAAATAGTTTATTGTAGTCATTTAAAATGGACAAATTGTGTGGTTTCATTTCAACAGATGTATTCCCTCCTCCTTCTGTGCAGATCCCAGGCCACCCCCTCACCGTCGTCCCATGTGGTTCTTGTCTGGGCTCCCCTATGGACCCTCAGAGAGGAGCCATCCAAATGAAACTTTCCCCCAGGTCTTGTTCTACTTGATGGACCCAGTGATGCCCTGGGCCATACCCTTGCTCTCCCTGGTTCCCTGCACATCATCAGTTCTCCCCTCCTCCAATCACACATCCCTCCCTTTGACAAAGGCCCTTATATGCCCCCTCTCCACCTGACCACCAGCCATCATTTATGTTGCAGCCTACTTGAAAGCCCACCACCCACTTCTACAACACTCACTGGATCACCCCCAAGCTTGAGTCTTCGTAGATTGTGGGGCCCCAACATTCAAAACCAATGAAAACACTGGAAGAATATGTCTCTATGGCCAGTGCTGGACTTGGAAGTCAGGAAGACCAAGCTTTAAATCTTGCCCGAGACACTCACCAGCTGCACGATCCTCAGCAAGTCACTCATCATCTCTGAGCCTCAGTTTCCTTATCTGTACAATGTGGATAATACTATCAAATACCTTCCAGGGTTGTGCCAAGTATCAAATTAATCTACGTAAAAGTGCTTTGCAAAGTTTATAGCAACGACACTCACATTAAAAAGTTTTTTTTAAGAAGTTCTATTGTTACCTTTAAAAACTAAACTCCAGATGGGTCACAGACTCAGTCTAACATACACTGACATAGATAAGTCTATGAAATTCAAATACTATCTAGGTTTAGATAACAAAAGTAGCTCCCATAGTTAACATCACATTTAAAATATTTTTAAGTTTAAAAAAACTGGAGACAGAAGAAACTACTATTATACCAAAGAGTCTTTGGATGAAACAGTTGTGTGTAGGGCACGTGGACAATGGGGGGTGTGCATGCTGAAGGGAGACACGAAAGAGGTAGAAATGGAAATATTTAAATATTTAAATAATTTATTCCTTCCTTCCTTTCCTTTTATCAATAATTATGCAAAACTACAACTCGAGTATTTTCCATTATTTTCTCTAGTTGTACTTTTTTTTTTTAAGAAGTTTTCGTTTTTTTTTGGCTAGGCAACTGGGGTTAAGTGACTTGCCCAGGGTCACACAGCTAGTGAGTATCATGGGTCTGAAGCTGGATTTGAAGTCAGGTCCTCCTGACTTCAGGGCCAGTGCTCTATCCACTGCACCACCTCTCCAGTTGTACTTTAATTTTCACATGAATACGTTTCTGATTCTGTAGCTTTAACACATGGTTCAAGAACCAGGGGCATCTGGGACCATAACTTTAACTAGGCCCTCCATCACAGTTTTTCTTTTCTCTATTACACAACATGATACTTCAATAAAAGCAACACACATCTTCAGCCTTTTCACTTCAGCAGTCGCTAACACAGTCTCTCCAACATACAAAGGGGCTGGGAAGTTAATCTCCTGAGAAATAAACACACAGCCTGGACCAGGCATTTTGGTACCCAGAAGCGCAGAAATCAGCCCATTGATCAAAACTCCATGAACAATGGTCCTTTCAAACTTTGTCTGCTTTGCAAAGTCTTCGTTCAAGTGCAAGGGGTTGACGTCCCCTGTTAATTCTGAAAACGTAACAACGTCCTTCTGGGTAAAAGCCTTCGTGAGCTCTGCCCGGTCTCCAACTGTCACACTCAAATGTCGAAGGTGCTGCCTGGCCCAGTCAGAACTGCACGTGCTTCTTTTGTTCAGCCTCGGCAGCACTGGGAGAACTCTGGGCCCCACTGTGCTCAGCAAAATGCGTTGACTGGAAACTACTGTGAACATCTTTCTAAATTCTGAACAGTTACAAACCAGAGCTGCAAGTTCTTCTCTCTACAAATGCCACACACAGTTGGCAACAAAAAAAAAAAATACTGTTTCCTGACCATTCGTTTTCAGCGAATTCCAATTCAATTCCTACTCTTCCAACACGAATTCTCTACTATTACCAGATAACGCAAGAAGGAATGGAGAAACCTAGAAGAAAGAAAAGTAACAATCTTACAGTGGAAGAAAATTACACCAAGACACAAGCCATCAGGATGGCTAGCAAAGTGATTCTTTTTTTTCTTATTTGAAGTTAAACTTGAATCAAGGCCAGGTGAGGCTACGACACAGGAGTGGTGGTAGTAGTAATGGTGGTGGTGGTGGTAGTGGTAGTGGTTAGTAGTAGTAGTAGTAATAATGATAGTTAACGTTTATATAACATCTACTATGTGTCAGGCACTGTGCTAAGATCTTTACAATTACTATCTCATTTGATCCTCAGGACACCCCTGGGTGGTAGGTGCTGTTATTATACCCATTTCACAGATGAGAAAACTGAAGCAAACAGCAGTTAAATGACTTGCCCAAAGTCACACAGCTAATACTTGTCTGAGGCCAGATTTTAATTCAGGTCTTCCCAACTCCAGGCCTAGGGCTCTACCCACTGTGCCACCTGCCACCCTGTAATTAAACACTGAATCACAGCACTTAGGATTTGGAGATCTCTTAAGGTCATCCACTCCAGCCTGCATTTGACTCAAAACCCTCCCCCACAATACTGCTGACAATGGTCTTCCAGTCTTTCAGAGAGGAGGATCCAACCACCTCCTGAGGACGCCCAATCAACCTCAGAACAGCAGTGGCTGCTGGGGGTTCACCTGCCTCAAGTCTCTCCCCTCTCCAGTCCATCCTCCATTCAGCCACCTAAGTGATTTTCTTAAAGTGCTTGTCCAAACATGTCACCCCACTCCTCTATTCAATAATGGCTCTCTACTACCTCCAGAATCCAATATAAAATCCTCTGGTGTTCAAAGCCCTTTACAATCTAGTCCTTACCTTTACAGGCTTCTCACATCTCACCTCCTAACACGTACTCTAGGCATTTTCTCTGGCTCTTGCCCCTGCCTGGAAGGCTCTCTCTCCTCATCTCTGCCTACTCACCTCCTTGGCTTCCTATAAGTCCTGGCTAAAATCCTACCTTCTTGTTGTTCTAGCATGTCTGACTCATGAAGATGAGTCTTCCTAATTCCAAGCCCAGTGCGCTCCATGCTCCACCTAGCTGCTCACTTTCTACAGAAAGCCTTTCCCAATCCATCTTAATCCTAGTGTTTTCCTTCCATTAATTTCTTTCTATTAATTAATTTCCTTCTATTAACAATTTCCTTTTTATCCTTCACATAGCTTGTGTGCATATATATCCTGGCAGTTAGCCCAGTGCCTGGCACATAGTAGGTACTTAATAAATGCTTTACTGATTGACTGGATGCTTCTAATTGTTACTAAGTTTTGTTTTTTCCCCCTACATCAAGCTTCAATTTGTTTCTCTACAATTTCGGACCTCTGCTCCAATTTCAGCCCTCCGATACTCAAGGACGGTTTTCAGCACTCCCTAAGTCTCCCCTTCTTCAGGCTCAGTTTCCCTCCTTCTTTCAACTACCGCTGAATGATGAGAGCTGAAGTCCTCTCCTCATCTAGGTCACCCCTTACTGGATGCCTTCAAGTTGGTCTCCATCCTTCAAAAAAACATGGCACTAGCAGCAGCTTCCAGCTGTGGGCTGACCACGGCCCGAGTACAGCCAACCCACTCACTTTTTTGTTTTTTACGCAGCCTAGGAGAGCAGGAACTCTTCTGGCAGCCTACGGGGAGCTAGTCTAGATAGAACCATAACCTCGTCAGAACTCTCAGATCTTCTTGGAGCCCAACTTTAGCAACAACCTAAAGCAAGGGCTAGACTCAGGCAAAGAACTTTAATGAAGATGACCCTGGGCATAGGTGGGAGATACTATTAAGCATTAATAAGCAAAGCTTTAGACAAACTTGCTTATTTCAGATAAAAGAGGTAAGAGAGTTCTACCCAGAAAAACACAGGACACTGGAGGCTAAACGCTTTCCTTTAAAAGCCTGGGAAACAATAAAATCCCTCAACAACAAATAAAATTTAAAACTACCACATAATTTTCACCATCTCTTTCCTCTCTACCAATTCACTCCCCTCCCTCTCACACACACATGATTGATGGATGTGGACACCCATGAAAGGCCTCCTCCCTCCTCCCTGTAACATCTCAAAGACAGTCTGTACCTGCATCACTCTGAAGGCACATTTCTTGTTCTGATAGGACCCCAGCAGTGTCAGAGAACTCCACAACTTCACAAGGCCACTGCAGAAAAGTCAGATCATGTCAGAATGACACAAAGATGTATTTCTACTATGCTTCCAGCATCCTTAACTCTGTCTGTCCTAGCAATTGCTTCTGCCAAAAACTGTCTTAATTTGAAATGCTAAATATTTTTTTTTTAAGGCAATTGGGGTTAAGTGACTCGCCCAGGGTCACACATTTAGTTAAGTGTCAAGTGTCTGGTCTGAGGCCACATTTGAACTCAATTCCTCCTGACTTCAGGGCCAGTGCTCTATCCACTGTGCCACCTAGCTGCCCCTTGAAATGCTAAATCTTAAAAGAGAAAGAATGGCACACACAAGTATCTATGGATCTATATCTATAACATGAAAAAATTTAAACTCAACTAGTTTCTAAACATTTGTATGTATATTTAGACATTTCTAAGTTTGCAAAATGGGCCTTGTATTAGGAACAACACCCAATTCAAATCCCCTTAGAATACATGCTCCTAGTGGAAAGAAATGAAGTATCACCCCTCTTATGCCTACTACAATGTTCTTAGTAGATACCTGATAGATTCTTGAAGATGACAACAAAGAATACCTTCCTTCCAGCCTCAGGTGAAGTCCCACCTTTTGCTAAACATCTATCTCAGTCCTCCTTTTCCCTCTGTGACTAGCCCGTGTTGTTTTTATGTTATCTCCCCAACTATATTGTAAGCAAGCTGAGGACAGGGGCTGTCTTTTGCCCTTCCTCGAGCTTATCACAATGTCTGGAACACGCAGGCACTGGACTGCCTAGCTTGCTGTTCTGAAAAGTGCATTATGAGGAGACAGAGTTCACCCTATTTCCCCACCAGTCACTCTGTTCCACAGTCTACATGGTTTTGTTTGGTTTTTTGGTTTTTTTGCTTAGGCAGGTGGGATTAAGTGACTTGCTCAAGATCAGATGGCTAGTGTCAAGTGTTTGGTCTGAAGCCAGATTTGAACTCAGGTCCTCCTGATTTCAGGGCCGGTGCTCTATCCACTGAGCCACCTAGCTGCCCCCATAGTCTACATGTTTTTAAAAGGCTAAGTGGTTAATACCTGCTACAGACTCTCAGGATTGCTGATAAGGTCTTTTCTTCATATGTCAACACATCAAAGGGTAAGGCAGCACCAACCTACATACAGAAATGATGCTCCTATTAGACAATTACTAATCCCCATTAGGAAATATTTTCAACATTCATATTTTATCAATTACTGGGAACATTCTTGTTAGTGGTGAAAGAAGACTAGATTCCAAGTTAACAATTAACTAGAAATTGTAAATGAGGAATATTTGCTGGGATGAGAATATTCAGCTTTTACTTTTTCCTTGCAACATTCTATGAAGAGAAATGGGGACAAATTAAGAATATTTCAGTGCCAATTTTTAGTATTAAAAAAAGGTAAGTCATGAAATAATATCGAGAGATATCCTCTCTGGAGTACCTTCAAAAATCCTAGCAGCATTGAACAGATTAAAAAATTGAAGGCTCACATACCTCTCCAAACAAGTCCCTCAGGGCCAAAACAATCAGTTGTTTGAACTGTGCGTCAGTTAATCTAAATCCATGATCTTGAAATTCACTATAAAGAAAAGCAGGCATTTAAAAAATCCTGTTCTTCACCTTCAGATCTTTAAGGAACAAATGTAAAAGCACTTAGAAAAATAAACTTACAGTTGGACTTTCATGTAATGGTACTCAGAGGGATTTTTATATACAATTCTTTCAAATGTGGCAGGTGAAGGCAACTTGTTTTTACTTAAGTGTTTCATAGTATTGATTAAACCTACAGAAAGAGAATCAAAAGTATTAATTTCTGAGTTTTGAATTATTTCTAAAACTTTATTTTTAATGTTAATTTTTGTGGCCACCAGTACTTTTCATGGGTCAGAGACAAGCCAGTAGTCATTCCCTCTACTACCAGCCTCAACCCTTCTTTGCCTCAATAGATTGGGAGCCAACTGTGGCAATGAATCTCTCCAAGCTTAACAAGGCTGGTTCTGGGACAAAGGACAGAATGGAGGCAATCTTCCAAGCCAGGTGGAATCCAACAGAATGCATCTTCCAGAAGCACAAGCTTGGAGAACCCAGGGTCACCTGGCAGACTCGTCTGAACTAATGCAGAGGGAAGTGAACAGAACTAGGAGAGCAATTCGTGGAAGAACATTGTAAAGAAACACAATTTTGAAAGACTTAAAAACTCTGACTTAAGTACCAACCAACACCAACTCCAAAGGCCTGATGACCCATCTCCAGAGAGGTGATGGACTCAGGGTGCTGCAGAAGGAGATGTACAAGATGTATATTTTTGGCCCTGGCATTAATAATGTGGGAATTCGTTTTGCTTGACTATACTTTTGTTACAAGGGTTTTATTTTTGTTTTACTTTTCCCAAGGGAGGAGAGGAGTACAGGAAAAAGTGGGAAGCTAATAATAGAGCTCCCAAAATCAAAATAACTTAAAAAAAATGCACAAACGAAAACAGAAGGCAAGAAGGTAATACATGCAATCGGGAAAGCTTATTAAGTTATAGAATGGATACACTTAAAAAGGAAAGCAACAGGTCCATTAAAAAAAAATCTAGCTTCCCATACAGGCCACTTTTCTATTCTTTACATATAGAAACGTTTAACTTATTTGACGTTTAAAATCGGGGGGAAATGCCCAGAGTCACCAGCTATGCCGGGATGAGGCATGCTGAGCAGGGGCCCTCCCAGGACCTTAGCCTGAGAGCTGGAGGGCCCGCACTCACGGCCTCTGCGGAAGGAGCCTCTGATGCCTTTTACGCATCTACGAAGCGCCCACTGCGTGGCGCCCGGGCAGGGCAGTCCCGAGACGCGGGCTCACGCATTCACCTATGAAGCGCTGACTGGGTGCCAGGCCCTGGGGATACAAGGCCAAACGGAACCCTGCCTGCTCTCGGGGGGCGGACGGCCTCAGCCACTAGTGCCTTCGCCTCTCGGGGCCTGTCTCCCCCTTGGAGAAGCCCGCACGGGGAAAGCTCTTCCAACCCTTCAAAGCGTGACGGCACTCGCGCGGCCCCGGCGACCGTTCCTCACCCGCACAGCGGCCGCAGACCCACGCGCACCCTGGGCCCCGCGGAGCAGAAGAGGCGGTGGGAAGAACCACCCTGGCAGCCCACAGACTCAGCGGCTGCTTCGGGTTCGGCGCCGCTGCGCGTGTGCAGAGGGAGCGCCTGCGCCGTAGTGGACTTGTGCGCGCGCAAGAGAAGGTGCGCCTGCGCCAGAAAGCGTGCGCGCCTGAATCGGAGGGCACGCTTGCGCACTACAAGACGTGCGCGTGCGTGAGCGTGCGCGCCTGCGCGCTAAAGGGTGCAGCATGTTCTTCCGGTTCTCGCAGAGCACTGCACGCGTAGCGGCCAACTGTGCCCTACACCCGGAGTCCCCATGTTTAGCTCCTCTCCCCAGAAGACGGAGGATCTCAGCCGAAAGACCCGCTACGAGCCTTTCTTGTTATTCCCCTCCTTCTGACTGACGCTTCTGCGATTAAGAATGACCCAGTGATTCTCACGAAACTCACGGTTCAGTTTTTCGACCACACCGCCCTCACGTTCTCCCGGCGCCGGCGCTCTTTCGGAAACACGCCGTGGAGGCCGGATGTGACGTCACCGCGCCCCGGCGTCTGTCTCTTACCTTCCGGGTTAAAGAGAAAGTGAGCCTGGGCTTGAGAAAGTGCGAAAGTTCCCGTGAGGAGAGAGGCTGCACCGCCACCAGGGGGCGCCTCTGTTGGGACCTGGAGAGAGAGAGAGAAAGGGCTTCTGACCTGGGCGGTCCCATGCCTAGACAAATCAGTCTCACCAGCTGTTAAATGGGAACAATAAACAGGGCGGGGGGGCGGTGCCTCCCTCCAGCTTCACCTCTCTGGAAGCCTCAGTTTCCTCATCAGTAAAATGGGCCACATGAGACCCAGAGATGTTGTGAGGCTCAGATGATACGTGTGCAAAGAGCCTTGTAGCCCTTAAAGGGAGGAAACGCCTTCCAACAAGCAGATAGCCACCCCTCTTTAATTTATAGCCCAGAGGCTCAGAAGTAAAGTGACTTGCCAGTGGTCACGCCAGGGCGGATCTGAACCCAGGTTTTCTTGGCTCCAGATCCAGCCTCTGAGGAGTCACGAGGCCACCCTGCCTTCCCCGGATAGTCTCCCATTTTAATCCGGTCCGTGGCTTAGTGGGTACCAGGTTGTTTGCATTAGACTGTAAGCTCCCTGAGGGCAGGGGCTCTCTTCCGCCTTTTTGTATCTCTGGCGCTCAGCCCAGTGCTGGGCACTTCGTTGGTGCTGAACGCATCTCGCCTCTCCCCGCCATGCTTTGTAACCAAAAAGAAAGGGTACACAGAACTCGGCTGCCCTTGCCCTTTCCTTCACATAATAAGTCTTCTCATCCTTCTCTAAATTCTTCGCATCCATCATTTCATTAATACTCCGACTCCTTTAGCCGGTCTCCAGTGCACTGAACTGCTACTTTGTTTCCTTTTAGCTGCTACAGAAAGGGCTCCTCTGAATGTTGTGTGATGCGTGAGGAGTTTCTTTCTGTCTTTGATCTCCTTAGGGGTATAATCCTAGCAATGGGATCTCTGGGTCATCTTCTTTGCTTTTTTAATTTTTTTTAAAACACAATTTCAAATTTCTTCTCAGAATGGTTGGACCACTTCACAACTCCACTAACTTTAACTGTCTTTCCACAGCCCCTCCAACATTGACTGATTTTCTGCCTTTGATCTTTTCTGCCAATTCAGTGAGCACGAGGTACAACTTCACTTCTTTTTATTTTAATGCTCTGTTATTGGTCATGATGATGGCAAATTAGCGTTAGCATTCAGTTCTGTTCAATTCAGCAAACAGCCTTGTGAGGATCATACTTAGATCATACTTAGGAAAGTCTGGAAAACCTTAGAACCCTCCATAAATGCTAACTATCATTATTACATATACTGTGCAAAACATTAATATTATTATTTCTATTTGCCCAGTACCACGCTAAATGTTGAAGATGCAAAGTGAAGATGCCCAGAATGCATTTGCTCCTTACCTCTGCCTCACAAAGTTCTTCTTTAAGAAGACACTCAGGAGCCTTGGATTTAACTACTTTGTGTACACTATATTTATATTTATTCACTTTAGATAATACTCTGTAAATATTTATATATGTGCAAGCTATCTCTCTGATAGTTTGTACATTCCTACCTTTAAAGTAGGAATTGTTACATTCTTCTTTCATCCTCTGGACCTCAGTTTTCTCATCTGTAAATTAATGGGTTTCAACTAGAAAGTTTCTAAAAGTCCTATCCAGCTCGAAGTGTGTGATCATAAAGAGCCAGAGTGAGGCATAAGAGCTCAATGTGCCTTCTGATAGAGGTGGACGAGTGGCAAGAATCCTGTATTTGAGACAGAGGTTCTAATCTGGAATGCCAGCCTGCCATTAACTTGTGTGACTTTGGTAAAGTCACTTTCCCTCTCTGAAACTCAGTTTCCTTATCTCTAAAATAAAGGAGTTAGTGACCTCTGAGGACCCTTCCAGCTCTAAATCTATGATCCTTTATTTGCCTAAAATGCTCTTTTAATTATAAGGGTGGGATTAACTGATATTTCCTCAAATCACCCATTTTACCTAAAGTAGGCAATAGATTGTTCAATCAATCTCCATTCATTTAGGTTTTTAAAATTTATGCTTTAGACTAAGTGTGAAAAATCTTTGAAAGCCATTGGATCAAATGAAATAAGACCAGATGTTGGTTGAGGGATTTTGTTGCCCTTTATATGGGTGGATGGGAGGGAACAAGCGTTTATTGAGCACCTTAGCCCATGTGCTAAGCACTTTACAAATATTGCATTTGCTATAAGCATCTAGGTACCTGGAATTGCCCAAGAACTAGCCAAAAAGTATCCAGCTACTCTGTCTAGACTGATTATCATTTAAGACCAATTGAACCTCAATAAGGACCAAAAACCTGAATTAATCTTTTCTTCCTGAGTGAACTGAGAATGCCCCTTACTGTGTCAACAGCTAAAGCTGACCAAGAGCATTCTTACGTTTATGACCACTAAGGCACCTTCAACCCAGACACTACCTTGATGGTGGTAAAGAAAACACAGATATCCTGGACCTGACATTTGCCTGTCTTATTTAAATTTCCTCTCTCATGCTCTGATTAAACATACGGAGACCATAAAACTGAGTAACACAGATATCTTGAGTCAGGGTTTAAATGTCCTCCAAAAATTGCTTGATTTCAGTCAGAGTTAAAGCTCTGGCTCAATGTAACATGTCGCCAACTTAAGGGAATAAAACAATATGGATTTACTTATCACCTAGCTTGTTGTCTCTTTAACCAACTTTCAGGTCGACAAGACCTTACATGGCCCTAGTTATTTACATGTTATCTCTCATTAAAATGGGATCTCCTTGAGTTTGGGGGCCTTTTTTTAAGTGGGGAGGATGCTTTCTTTGTATCCATAGTATTTAGCACGGTGCCTAGCACATAGTATTTAATAAATGGGTTTGGTTTTGGTTTTGGTTTTGGTTTTGGTTTTGGTGTTTTGGTTTTTGGTTTTTTGGTTTTGTTTTTGCCAACTGACTGGCTTCCAGACTGTGAAGATGCCAGTGTACCTGTGGTGATGCCCCGTTATTTTGACTTGCTTGAGGGCTGCTCTGAGATAGTAGCTCTACGTTAGGACCTTCATCCCATGAAACTCTGGTCCTTGGAAAGCGTTCGAGGTGGGAGAAGGAGATCCTTGACCTTTGACTTTTGATCTTGGTTGTGTCTACTGCTGTTTATGCTACCTATGCCCACTCCCTTTTGATGTTATAGATGACCATGCTTTTCCTGATTCAGACTATTTTGTCTGCGCTGGTTCCTTGATCTGTAAAATGGGGGCGATAGAAAAAAATTAAAATGAGTGGGCTGCCTGGGTAGCGCCCAGGGTTGTTGTGAGGATTGGTTAATAGAGGTAGACCTGACTGTGCCCATGTCATATGGGAGGGGTATGATTCGACAAATACATAGAATGGAAGATAAGGGGAAGTCATTCCTTTGAACATTATCTCCAAATTGGCAGCTTCAAAGTATACACAGATACAGAACTGTGGCAGGGTTTCATGAGTCAAGGTGATGGACAGACCTAAGCCCTGTGCCTTTGTAGGAAACCCATATAGAACAGGTAGCTGGGCAGGTGGGGGAGAAGGAGGGAGTTCTAAACTGTTGCTGCTAATCTTAAGGATTTTATGTATGCAATTTCTCCCAAGATGAAGTTGTGAGGACCATCCCTTCCCCTTGGGCACACACCCTTCAGTCTGCCCTATTGTGACATTTTTTCCCCTCCTTTCAAAGCTACCCTGGATGTTTTAAAAATCTGATTTTTCCTGGATAAAAATGTTGAGTTAAGGAGCACAACAAACCTGCCCACCTCCTGAACAGGATTATTCTCCTACCACGACCCTCATTCATTTTGAAGAGAAAAAAGTACAAAGTATGTACTAAGTAATACAGAGTCATTTCAAGAAAGTGAGAGCACTAGTGTGGCTTAGGAGATGGCGCCTGAACTGAGCTTTCAGCAAAGCAAGAGGTGCTGCAAGGTGGACATGAAGAGGGAGTGAATTCCAGTCAGGAGCCCACTGCAGACTTCTCATTTCAACTGAAATCTCACCTTCACGGAGATTGCCCCAGCCTTAGTCATCAGACCTCCTCAGTACTCTCAGTTGCCTCTCCTCTCTGATTGGAGAATGCAATGAACTCCTTCCAAAGCCTCAATTTTTTGAGGGCTCAAAATTTCCAGCCAATTCTTCATTTACCTCCAGCTGCTCTGCTTGGGTTTCCACCCCCTAACATCATCATGCCCCTCCTCGGGCTACCTCCTTCCTGCTTTTCATTAGATTGAAAGCTCCTTGAAGGCAGAGACTGTCTTTTTCTTATTTGTATTTCCAGTACTTAGCACAGTGCCTGGCACATAGTAGGAGCTTAAGTAAATGTTTACAGACTGTTGGCTAGTTGATGGAAATAAAGTTGGTAGTAGAGCTTGAATTCAAGCCCAAGTCAACCATACTGTGGTCTAGGCCCTAGAAAGTGAAGACCCAAAGTTTTGTGACATAGCTGGGATCGGGGTCTCGATTACAATAAGGGTCCTCGTAAATTAAAAAAAAAACTTAGATTCATAGATTTAGAGCTGGAAGGGACCTTAGAGACCAATAAGTCCACTTCCACTCATTTTACAAATGAGTAAACTGAGTCCCACTGAGTTCAGTGACTTGCTTAAGTTCACATAGGTAGCAACAAAGGCAGGATTTGAACCCATGTCCTCTTATGTCAAAGACCTTTTCACTAAAAAGAAACTGCCCTAGCGCAGCATCACTTTTGGGGTGGGGGGGGGTTGAGGACAGGGAGACTGAGTCTTCCTAGTTTGCCCAAGTCAGAAGTGAAGCGGTTACATGTGGCCCCATCCCACTGCTGATCATCACAGAAACTGTCTTGCTGTATTTCCAATGGGGCAGGTTCATTCTTACTTAGGTTGCTTGGTAGCTATGCGCTTTACCCCCTCCACACCTCTCCCAGGGCTCAGAACTCCATAGCTCCAGCAATCTACCTTCTTAGGAGCAGGGATCATAAGTGTGGGCCACCCCACCACCACTT